GGTCCTATCGGAGAGGTGTGTTAAATTCATGGGTCCTGCCTCTTAAATAACCTTACAGTGTTGAAAGGGGAGTCAAACCTTTACAATGTCACGATGCTATCCCACTAGACTGGCACCATGCATCAAGGTACTTGCTGCATTTAACATGAACATCACTGGTGACAAAGCAAGTTGCAGACAAAAGACAAAAAGGTTGGTCACATATCACACTGTGTGGCCACCAGCCGAGGCCTTCCGGATGACGAGGCCTTCCGGATGACGAGGCCTTCCGGATGTCATCCGTACAGTAACTCTATACCTCCTCACAGAGAGCACAATGTCGCAAGTCAAAGGGTAATGTATGATAAGTAAGCAAATAACTTCATTCACAGCATCCCAACACCTTACAACTTTCTTAAACTTTGAAAACACACAAACTTAAAAAAAAAAAAAGGTTCCCTTCTTTATGTAGGCAAAGCAGAAAACATGTCCAATGATGGATTAGGGAAACTATGTAACCAAGCCTGCAAAGAAAAGAACAGTAGAATAGATAATCAAAACTGTTAACCCTATTCACGTATCAAACATTAATATCATGACAAACTTGTTATACGCAAGAAATTTGGTGAAAACAGAAAAAGGTAGAACTCTTTATTACTGCCACCAGCATAATGGTGACAATATTAGAAGAGCCGGGGTTGTAGATCAAACCTCTCCTCGTGTTGGAAATGAACATGCTGGAATTTAAAGCTTCTATAACTCTGTGTGTACAGGGAGAGAGTAGACATGCTTTGTTTTCTGAATAAAACAAACACGAGTTACATACTAAGTTAAAAAATTTGCTGAAGTATAATGTAGAGCTAAGCTCAATTTGCAAGAAATTTGCTGGTTGAAAGTGCCTTTCTTAAAAACGAAAAGCACACAGAGTACTTGCAGTTTGACTAAAACAGATATGTGGTGAAGGTGACCACTGAATATTCACAACAGCACGAACATTAAAAACATAACTGAAAGACAATTGTAAATTGTGGCAAATGGATATGCAGGAGGGATATGATCTTGTCAAAACATTCAGTAAAAACGATTAGGCATTGCAATGATTGTTACACATCACAAAATAACAATGCTTAGCTTGTAGAAATTATAGGTTTCTTTCAATAATATCACTGTCTACTTACCTGTCAAGGTAAAACTAAATTTCGGAAAACAGAGAAGTTTCTGCCTTTCCTATCTCTGATCCAATGATAAATTCTAAATCTTGCACTTTGTCGGCATATGAGTTGATCAAAATTATTGAAGGATTTAGAGACTGGCCCTGGATAAAAAAGGATTTCGAGAAACCTCTAATTTGCAGTATGGCTATTCTTAATGGATAAAAGAAATGTATACAGTAAAATAAAAATGTCATGGCTTTGAAGGCGAAAAGAGGTAAATAATACATTGCCTATTATGGTAAGAAGGAAACTGCTATTTTACTTTATAATGTACACCATGAAACTTACATTTTGGTGGATTTCAGCAGATCTATCACCTTACACTCTGCTGTTCCGACACTTTCAAATTCGACTCAACTTAACCACAGTCATCAGTCATTTGATTGACAACTAGCTCTCCTCCCTTTGCTTAAAAAACCCCAAAAACCAGTGGAATTATCATTAAGTCTTAAAGCGATGACATAACAGGCAAAAGGGGCATAACATGGGCAAAAGAAGAGCTTCTGAATAACAGGTTGGGACTAATAAGGTCTAAGCAACTTAAAGCAAAGTGATAAGTACACATGTACTTTAAGTATCTACAGTGCCTTACAACACCTGCCATGAATGTAAATATATTAAAACAAAATTGAGCTCATGATTAACAGGTAATAAAAATGTCCCCCCCCTCCCGGCCCTAGCTAACGAGTCATTACATAATTCTCGTCATCTAAATATCATATTAAAAGACCCAAAATAGTCTTTTTTTTTTCAGTTATCACAAAATCTCTTTAACTCTTAATATGACAGTCTCAGAACTCCAAATTAAATTGCAGAACAACACAATCAGTCCTTGCTAAAAGGCCTTATTTTATGTTTTCTCATTACCAGCGACTTTCAGATATAGAAAACCCTCTGGGACCTTCTGGGACTATTTCTTCAGCAAGCTGTTAATTTGTTATAAACCCAGAAAGCAGTGTTTTCAGGAGAGAGAAAAAAACTTCTCATTCCTTTCATCTTTCAGATACAAAACCCTCAGGGACCTTCTGCAACTATTTCTTCTGCAAGCTGTTCATCTATTATAAACCAGAAAGCCAAATTTTTCAGGAGAGAGAAAATTTTTTATATCTTTTACAAATAGTACCTATATTACATATCTTTTCTAACTTATTTAAATTTATAAGAATTTCAACAAAATACTTCGGGAGCCACAGATTAAGAAGCTGCAATTAACATTTTTTCCTAAATTTATGGGCTTATATATATCTGAACAGCTTGCTGATGATTTGTCCTTACCTCTAAGTGCACCTTGCGAGATAGGGGAAATAAAACTGGCAAGCATTTTCAGTTGCTTAGTAAATAAAAAAACCCCCAGCAACTCTAAAACACCCCTGAGGTATAAGTTAAATTTCCTACATGCTCAAAAGTATTTCCAACTTAACACGACTTAAAATAGACACTTAAATTTCCCATAACAGGATCCGATCGGACGATAATACAGTAGTTTGGATTTGTTATTTCAGAGAAATTTCGAGATGAAAATGTATATTGATCAGAGGGCAAGACAATACCTCAAAGTGAATGCTGTCAAAAATGAACATACGAGGCCCGCCAAATCTCATAAGAGGCAAGGAAGGCGTTTCAAGATTGGATTATAATGCTTATATGCCATTCAAACTTCTACACACTGATAGGAAAACTTTACACAATATAAGCAGTACACGAAGGACAACGTAAATTTGTGCATTCATGTCTGATGAAAGAGAAAAAAAATTAAAATAAGATTCATTATGCTTTTAGTATGATGAACACTATTTGAGATACGGATATGTATTTAAGCACACACATCTACAAACTCAGCTGGTAAAAAAAAAGAAGAAAAACAACCCACATCTTGATTCAATAAACTGCATCCAGATTCATTCTTCCTCTGAAGAATTTATCTTACTCCCAAAACATAATACAGTATTTCAACAGCATCATGAAATTCATGAAACATGCCATTTTCATCTGATATAACATTTTCGCTTAAACAAAATGAAACCATTGTATATGACAAACAATCACTATTCTAAAAAATGTGTACAATGATTGATTTTCTTAATCCCTCCCTCCCTCCCCCCCCCACCCCTTTTCTCCACAAAGGACACTTGTGAAGTTTACTTACTTATGGTCAGTTACATATGGTCAGCAAAAGACTTCGCTGTATGGAAAGGAGCAGTAAAAAACCTGAACCATCTGCACAGACCCCATCATTGTCTCTAAGTAACTTCAACTGCATATGTCCTCCCAAGCTAAAATACAAACATATTGTTCACTTTACATTAATGCTCAATGTCCGAAATTTAAACAAATACCACCTTGTTGGCTTTTATGAGATGAAGAAGGCAAGCTTACTGGCTGTCAATATTTCCGAAAAAGAAACTCCAATTATAGGGTAAGCAGATTTTTTTAATCTACTTAAAAATTTGACAAAGTAAACGGATAGAGGCCAAAAAATAGGGCCCAAACACTATTTCAAGTCAAAATGGTCATATGAATACAACATTTGGTATGAGTGTTGAGGTATATAATGATAAGAAACTGAACAAACTACTATGCATTATACCAGTCTACATTATATAAACACATAGCCTACCTTTCTCTCAAAATAGGGATTTCCCTTTTTCTTTCCCCCATCAACCAATATTACAAGAGAGATAGTGTTATTCCTGAAACCTGCCAAGAAGGTCCACATACTGATTATTCAATAAACTTTGCATCACAATGATATTGTAAAAACAAATATTTCAAACGTTTGTTCCATACTTTGCTTTGTGAGTTATTGCTACTAAGAGCAAGTGTTGTTCAGAAGAAAAAAGCCTAAATACATGATATAAGAGACAGATTTGGCTGGCCAGTCATCAATAATGAGTATTATGCTGTCAAAAATCAATATCCTGGTAGTTTCATTCTAAGACAACAGTTCCAAAAAGATCACCATTGTACAAATAAAATACTCATATTTAATTATTGTTCATACCTCTACAACACACACTATTACTATAAGGCAATAATGATATGAAAAACGATTACTAAATTCAGAAAAAAGGTACCAGAGACGAGTCACGATACTTGTTCAGCAATCTGCAGTGTCTATATATTTCTATATCAGAGTCTCTAAGTATGTACCAAATGTGTAAGAGGCACATATTAGCTCCACACTGAAGGAGTACTTGCCTGATTGGCCTTTTTGTCTTGATAATACACAAATAAATGGCTCATTTCTGTATTTTGTAGCCATAGCACTTTAGTCACAACAATATTGCAGGAACACAGTAAAATACATCATATACAAATAATCTACCCTGTTTCAAATTTTCTTCCTTGTGTCATCAAGGGATACAAGTAAAGCGTCACTGAGCTATACTGTTGTAAGCTGACAAAACGTCTTTTTTTTCCCACAGCAGTTTCTAGAAAAAGAGTTTTTTTATCAGTATAATTATTTAACAATGTAAAAATAGAGTGATTCAGAAATCTGAATTCTATTTTATTAAAAAACTAGTCAGTTTCACTTTTTTTTCCACATAGGTAGGGTAACTGATCAGGCTTTCGATTTAGCAAATAAAAAATGTTGGCGCCAAAATGAAAAAAGGGGTTTTGTCAGCTTACGACAATATAGTCAAACATTATTATATCTGAGTCCACCGTATAAGCCTTTCACAAGACGGATCCAGATAATTATCATTCAAAAACATTTAACCATGCCGGCAATACAACGCTCCATATTTTTTGGGGGTCATTTCTAGGTTTTGGACCACCTTGAGCTCATACCTTTTTGAGTTCTACTTAAAAAAAGCTTATGTTTGGATTTTAATCATTAGTAATCATTGTTTATAAATGTTGAAAAGGTAATGTCACTGCTGTTTTACACTATTATTGAAAACTAAATTTTAAGTGATTTGAAACAACAATTTGTAGTGTTTTTTCTAATAGCTATACAATGATCAGTCTCAACAAAGAGGACTTATTTTTGCTGCAATAGGCATACACCTGTTCAACAGCAAAGGTCGCTAAGAAACATTACAAGAAATAAGAAAAGTCTTTTGAAGAATTGGGGAAAAACGTAAAACTAAATACAAATATTAAATTCAACTTTATCCAACTTGTTTCAGAGATTGAGCTGAGAAAAACCACATTGATATAATTATAACATAACTGAATATACCTTTAAGGTAGCATACTCATTTAATTCACATCGGCATAGCTGGGAATATAAGTGTATACACAAACTATAATGAAATATAACAACTTCCTTACATACTGAATCTTTAAAACCATTTAAACATCAGCATCAAAGTCATTAGTATGTAAGCCACTTTCAGGCAGACATCTTTCTGATTACAGTAAGGATCATTCAATATTCAAAGAGAAATGTGGTTTACAGAGTTCGAAAAGAAATTTCATTTTTTCCATAATTAATGAAACTCTTGATATATAGTAAACAAAAGCACCCTTATATTCAAAACAAAATTTCATTTGAAAGTATAGCACCTGCGTCCGTCATGGATAACATTATATGCATATATAATATAGAGGAACCTTTAAAAAATTATTCGGTTTTCACCCTAAATCAAATTTCCAGTAACTCTCTTTTGTCTTGAATTGTAATAAGGAATATTCAAGCACAATATTCAAGCTCTCTGCCCTACACTCATCCTGTATCATCTAAGGTGGAGCATGCACAAACTGGTTGTAGCAGTCTAAGGAAGTCTGTACATAATTCATGCTTTTTGACAACATCACTTCTTCATTGAAATAAAAAGTTTAACATTTTCCACATCCTTCCATCAACTTGACATGATATGGATCCATAACAGTAACCAAACGATTTATGACACGTAGTTTACATGTAGCTGCAAATCTAGATTTCGAAAACACCGGAGAACCTTTCGCACCCATAGCTCAACCTGATTTATACTGACTAGCAACACAAAGTTTATGTGAGTGCACATATCACTGACACACACACATACACACATATATATATATATATATATTACGTGACTGAAGAGTGCACAAGGACAGTAGCTCAGAAATAGATCACACATCCAGATCTCATGAGATACAAATTGCTTGTTCCTTCCCTTTAGAGGAATACATCAAGTAATGCATAATTTTTTTACATTTATTAACATAATCATATCAGTCCCAGCAAGCTGAATGTTGACATGGTGTGTCAAAAGGAAAAGGGCAGTTCTGTACAAATCTGACATTCTGTGGCAGAGAGAAATATTTCGTTCACTTCAATTACTACCTCTTAAGTTGATGCTGATGCTAACAGCATCATAATCTGACCCTCCTTTGAATAGCCATAAAGCACTCTCTATTTATCTCTCTCACCCGAAGTCTAAAACTGAAGAAGTAGAAGAAGATACCATGGCTAAAAGGGGATTTCCATAAATTCCTACCTGCCAACTCCCAAGGAAAGTCAAATTCAAAAATTATTTCTGAGCATCTGCAAAAATAATAAGAATTCTAAGTAAAGAACAAAATGTAACACTAACAACTTTTTCAGATTTGAATTGCAGTGTTCTTGTTGGTTTTCTAAAGATGTTTTCTTCCTTTGCTCCTAAGATTTGGAATTCCCTCCTAAAAGAAATGAATGTACCAGAGAGAGAGATTTTAACTGATTCAGCCAGCAGAAAATATGTACTTCGGACGCAAATAATTTGTGACTGTTTTGTGACATAACAGGTGTCTCCAAAACGTTAATAAAGAAATATCTAAATTTGAAAAAAACCCCTCTGTCTGTCACATAAAAATGCTCAGAATAAAAAAATAGATTCAATGACACCAGATAATAAAAAGGTTGAAATGTTCGTTATCAGGAAAAAGGAAAGGGAGAAAAGTGCTGTGAAAAAAGGAAGCCAAATAGAAGAGCAGCTATGAGCGGCTCTGCGTCAAAACACAGGAGACATTCGGCTGCTGTGAGCAGTGCTGCCGGCTGAATCAGTTAAGAAAAGTATTAAGATGCATTTATTCAATGCTGTCCTCTGCCACTAGTTTTTGTATGTGACAATGTGAGTAGGTCTGGGAGTTGAGTGTGTGTGTGTGTGTGTGTGTGTTTGTGTGTGTGTTTGTGTGTGTGTGTGTGTGTGTGTGTGTGTGTGTGTGTGTGTGTGTGTGTGTGGTGTCGCTCAATGGTCTTAACATGTACTTTTTCTGTTTTTTGATTTGTCAGTAGCATTGAAAAAGAATTCTTCCTTGTACAGCTTTTAGCGCCTACTAGGGACTTGGCCCTCTATAAATTCACATTATTAATATAATAATAATTATCATTGCAAAGAATATAGTTATTCAGGGTCTAAAGATAAATTAAGAACATTTGAAGTGTTGGTGAGGGTAAAAATTAACAAGAAAATTATCTGAATTCATAGAAATCTTATTTCTTCTTGAACCTTCGAGTGACATTTTCCCACACCATTCCAACACAACAGTGAACTTGTTTATGAAAACATGACAGAAAGTGTTTCTGTCCCCTCAGCCCCTACCCCTGCCTGAAGCATTTACAGTACAGGAGAAAAATGCGTAAACCAACAATACAGCTGAGCATGTCATGATAATCAATTCCTGAATCCAAGGCACATTTACATTTCAACACAACAAGGTAAAAGAAATTTATAATGCTGATTAGAAGTTTGTCCAAAAGACTGAACGACAGAGTGAATATAGCTGAACAAGCTCTAACAACCACCAGTCCAACACAATCACCCGTACAAATGACTCCTTCCCATTTCTCTCCCCCCCCCCCCCATGAGTTTTTTTAAAAACATTATAATGACACGATCCAAGACATCCACCTGTCTAAGACAACCACTGTTCTCCTCAGCGATGGATGGCTATCTCGAACGCTTTTGACTGTGTATGGGAATCACACGCCTAACTATAACACTCTTGACAAAGTCCACAACAAACTTCTAGCACACAGCATGTTTGGAATCGGCAGACCCATCTAGACAAGCAAACTTCCGCTGCTGTAATCTGTAGTCTGGAATATGAACACCAGTTGACAGCACTGTTTTTCTCCAAAAGAAACTCTGGAATTTTTCGATCAGTCAAAGGTAAGCGTTACCATAACCATGGTAAGAATACCGAGACAGATAAATGCGACTTGCTTGAAGGATTCCCTGTGGAAAGAAAAACGTTAAGTTCTCAGAATTAAGAGAAAAAATGAAGAGATGAATGACATTCCAGAAACATTTCACTTTCATACTCTACATACAAACATTCTGGCCTGTTAAACTAGATACAACCATGTAACAAAAGTTTAAAAAAATCGATCCAGTTGTTGTTGTTGTTGTTATCAATCCAGACATTAAAAAATAGACATTGAATTATTGAAAACAATACAAACACAACAAAATTTAAACAGAAACTGATTAGTACAATATAGCAAAACAGAAACAAGAGGAAGACATAGATCATAGACATAATAAGCCCTCAAAACTTGCATACTTCGAGCCTACTTTCCACACACACACACACACACACACACACACACACACACACACATATTCACTCCCCCCACCGCCACACACAACGTCTGAAGAAGTCGATCACACCAGAGTGCCCATCAATCACAGATATGCACCACGTATTGCTACGGATTTACCTCATCTTTGGAGAAACACTGAAATGCAGTGAAGTGATGAGTTCTAGCAGTAGGTGACTGAACAAAGACAACAACTATTATGAAAAAGACATCTACAATGACAGAACAAACAAAAGGATCCATACCAGCCATGTTTTTCCTGAAGAAGGTCTGGCACAACAGTGACCAGAGCTATGTACATAAACCCTCCAGAAGTGAAAGGAAGAATCCAGGCTGTTCTCTCTCCTGTGAGAAGAATATAAACACCGTAATAATATAATAATGAATACATTCAAATGTGTCACGACGTGGTGGAAACAGGCACTCCTCAATTTTTAGGCATGCCGAGCTATTGGTATCATCATAAAGCTTGTTCAATTGTCTTGTTTTCGATTTAAAAAGTACCTATCTTGAATAAAAGTCAAGATATTTTCCATTGAAGGGGGTAGGGGTCGTTTGGTTTCAGAGGTAAAATTACCGAGAAAAAGGCCGGCAAAGTTTGGTGACTTCCATAACTTGAGAGTACTTGGAAAGTGAAAATGTACATTTTTTTTACCTCTTATCAAAGAAAATTATTCAGTAAAATCTATACAGAAATGTGTTTTTCAATGGGCAATAAAGGCATTGAGCACACCCCCCCCCCAAATTCGAGAAAAAAGTCGAATTGGCTGGAAAATGCCTGTTTCTTTGATTTCAATATTTTGACGAGCGCCTAATTTCAACATGTTGTCTCACAAATGTACAAAACCATATAAATAATAAATCTTCAAAATTTCAAAACTTCCCATACAGTGTTGAAATGAGTATTTACGTTCACCCCC